TGCGGTCTCCTAATCGGTCTGCCTGTTTCAAGTGTGTTTGGTGTTGAGTTATCTGCGGGGTAATGGCTGATTATGGCGCGTGACAGTGAAAGCCGCAAGGAAGCTGTCTCGCCGATGCCGCCTTATCTTTGCACGATATCCAGCTGGTTGTGACAGTATGTTGTCTACCCATGGTGTATGCGGCTTGACCCTGAATGTTTGCTTAGGGCATTAAGTTTTTCAGGTAAGTCCCCCTTCTCTCCCTCTTATTATTCTTGATTTCATAGGTCCACATGGTTGTATGGCAGCGAAGCATCAGTTCAAATGGCTGATGTATTGCTGTTGTTGATGATGATGATGCGGAGTTTCGTTGATCTGTTGTGTGTGAGCTATTTGTGTCTGTTGCACTTCGCGGACTTACAGCTAATAGAGGGGGCTTTTTCGAAAAGGAGTAATTTAAAGCAGTTAGTTCCCTTCAACAATTTGAAAAGCACGGAAAGAAGACGAAGGCCTTCGTCTTCTTTCCGTGCTTTTCGAAAAGGAGTAAGCCGAGTTTCGTCAAACCTGAGGTTGTATCGACAAAATCGTCACCATCGGTGAAATGCTCGTATTTTGCCACGTCCACCGACGTCTAGTAACCACAGTGTTTTTGGACATCCTAGCGGCAGTTGATTCAGTGGGTAGGTCCGTTTTGTGGAAATCTTTACTAAGGAAAATTTGTAACCATTTGAAGAAATTGTACAGTTACACGTAGGTAAAGTTGGTGCTTACGGCAGGCTTTCCTCTTCATTTATGGTCACCAACAACCTTTAAGATTACCCTATTTCATCCTTAATTCGTCATCGAAGATGCCCAACAATCAATAGAAGGTTCCAGAATTGCAGCGTTAAGCTTCGCCCTGGAGACAGGGTCGCGGATATGGCATACACAAATTATATCACTTTGTTTGGAGACGAACTGCTCAAAATATTTTGTGCCGCTTAGCGATGTAGGCGTGCAAGTACGGCTTGCACTTCAACTCAGCCAAACGTAAAACATCGATACAGGACCCTTTAGGCGCTTGTGTCTGCGCTCAGCACTACTAGTGACATATTAGAACAAGCTGGTTGCTTCAGTTATCCAGGGAGGTGCATCACAGCTGGTTGCGGTGTTGGAGAGGAGATCTCACAACGGATCGCAACGGCCCACCAGTTGAAGAAAATATTGCGTCGTTGCGATATCAGTGTCAAAGTCGTGCTTTTGTCCGGATGGTCCTGTTGTACGGCTGTGAGACCTGGCATGTTCGCGCAGAAGACATGAAACGATTGTCAGTTTTTGACAACCATTGTCTGTGTACGATCTCTCGCGTATGACGGTATCATCACGTAAACAATACGGTAATTCGCGCCAGTGCTTAGAGTAGGGGCGTCCAAACTTTTCTCTAGGAGGGCCACATTTTGTGAGGTAAAATATGTCGAGTCATTTTCAGCCTGATATGTAGACAATAACCAGAAATAATGTGCTTTAAATTCTTAATTGTAAGTTTTAATGTGAATGATGGAAATGAGATCCTGACTTCAGCAAACTGGTCAGGTCAGGCTTAAAGGCAGTGGTTTTGATACGCAAGATATCACGTAGGTGATGATCAATTAGACTTTTCCTCACACGGTTCCTGTTAAAATACAAAAAGGATAGTATTGCTGATGAGAAAAAAATGATAGTGTCTGCTCACACAACTATGTCGAGCCAAACAACCTGATCATTTTCTTGGCAAATGTCCCAGTTTTTCGGAATCTCTCTTTATCCAGCTCGTCGTAGATTTGGTGACAGAGTTGTTGGTGTCGACTGTGACATCTAACATGGCTATGCAACTCAATGAGTTCCAGTTGCAGGTGGTCTGGAGTATTGTTAGGGTCCATGCAGAAGGGCGAAGAATAAATCCCGCTCTCGTTTTCATTGGCTCCACATTCCTAAAAACGCCTTTGAAACCCATCAGCCAGTGATACAATATCTGCGGCACCCTTGTGCATTTGTGCATTGATGTTATTTTCTGGAAGAGTTGTGTCGATTTAATGTAGTGATGGAAAATGTGTGGTATTAGGACGCGTTTGAGACAGCTGTCTTTGGAAAAGTTGTAGCTTATTCCTGAACCTTGGATGTGTTTGATTCCAATTGGCTTACCACTACATTTTGATCCTGAAGGCTCTAGTTCAACAAGTTCGGGTGCCGTGTAATATCAACCAAAATCCAAAACTAGCCAGCCAAGCAGGATCAGATGGTTCTGGCATCGACTGTCCCTTACTTTCTATGAATTGTTCAATTCATTTTCTGAAAGGGTAGAAGAGATGAAGTGCAGTCCCTCGACTGAGGAACTTTGTATCATTGTGGCACACGATATCTTCGTATTCACCCTGAATGCCAAGTAGAAACTGCTGAAACTACGATGAAACGGGGCTTTAGAGCGAAGATAGTTGATAGATTTTATCACTGGCTTCATAACATATTGCACCCAAGATGTTTGGCACAAATAACTTGTTGGTGAATGATGCGGTGCAGCTTAATGGCTTTGCCTCCCGCTTCGCTGAGTTTGTTACAGAAACCGGTTGCAAATTCACTATGCTCGCTATTCGTGGCTGGGGCATCGTCCGTTATAATTCCAGGGAACCATTTGCATTATACTTTAGTGTTAATGCTTGTAGAAGAAACAGAAGCAAATATTTTCTTCTTGTTTGGTACTTAAGACTCTGTAGGTCAAGCAGTTTCTCATTTACACATGTGTCCTCGTTGATTCCTTTCAAAAAAGGCGAAGCTGGGTAGTGTCATATGCATCAGTACTTTCAACACAGCATATCGATAGAAGTCAAATTATCCTCCTTTTGCTTCTAACTGCTTTATAATATCAGAGATGTCTTCAATGCTGTGAACTACAGTGTTGCCTGCCAGGCAAACATTGACAAACTGTTACTTTTTCCCAGGGCAGATATGTCACACAATTTTCAGCATACCTTTTTTTGACAAATTTACCTACAGTAAATGGTTTGCAGTGTTTCGCTATTAGATCTGCCACTACGTAACGGCTTTGTCACATTTACATTCAACTGGCCGATTCTTGCAACCAAGTTTTTCTGTGAGATCATACCAGCTTCTAGTTGCTGGCTTGCCGAACAACCTCCTCGTGGTGCCAGCTGGGTGGTTTGGGATTTTCCCGTTCCAGCAAATGGTTCGGCAGCAGTGTTCCAGGACGTGGTGGGTTTTCGCCTGGCAAGCGTTCTCCCTATAAAAAGCCACATGTGTCCTTTTAACAACACTGTGACGTGGCGGACGTGACTCGCCACCAAATAAAGTCACTGCCCCTTGCTTCATACTGGCGAAGCATTGTATTCCAGCAACCTTATGCTGTACTTCTGGGGAGCATTGGGCCCCTGTTTGACAAAGGAACAAACGAAAGGCGTATGAACTGAGCAATCAGTCACCGGCTCCCAATGGGCGCGATTCCCTGAATTCGCTCCGCTGCCTTGCGGGCAGGCTGTTCAGCCAAAGGCTCGGGGTGGTGTCCCCTAAGTCAACACCCTACTTCGGCTTGGGCAACCGGGTAGTATCTCGCCCTCTGAGGAAACCATGAACATTGTTGTGTTGTGTTTTATTTTACTGTTTCTGTACCTTCGTTTGAATCCCATTGTTTCTGATGGCATTATGTCTGTTAGCAGACTTTTGCAAATATATACATATATATATATCAGTTGTTAAAACTCGTTCATTTTTAGTCAAGTTGTCGCAACACGCTTCGTTTGGTAGTGTCTCATGATAGTAAATTCTTTGCAAACAGCCACAGTCATCCAATGAATCAGGCACATGCAATTGTTCGGTCGTTCAGTGAAAATTACACCAGTTTCCAGTTTTCTTAGAAGCGTCGCCGTTCATCATTAACATTTTTTTAAGTCGCAGTTTCCATTCGAGAACAGGAACGAAAATCATATAAATAAAAAATTAAACGAATCCGCCTTTTTATTTTTTCAGTTCCGTTAAAACCCCTTTATCACATAGGTTGTGAAAGTGTAGAGTAGAAAAGTTTTGCTTTTTCCGGAAGTAAATAATCGGAAAGATTAAAACTGTTGTGGGTTTAAGGAAGCACCCCTTAGAGTAAATTATAGCACAACAACAATTTGGTGTCTGGGTTAACCTATAAAACAAAAATAATGTTCTCAGAACAGGCTAGCTTTATCTAGTCCTATATATATATATGTCTGTATATAAGTTAACGAACCCATCTATTTTAATTTTTGCTTTAGTCAAAACACCTACAGTAAAAGCACTAGATTGACTTCTCCTAGTTGGTTATAAAAATAAACGATACTGCATCACTAATTTCTGCCAGCAACTGACGTCATTTAATTTCGTACTCATAATGTCCTTAATTTTTGTAACCTAATAATATCGTATCCACGGAAAAAATCCAAGCTTGAAGTTTCTATTTCATGATGAGGTCGCGGGCTAGTTGAAACGTTAACGTGGGCCGCACTGGTCCGCGGGTCGGACTTTGGACACACCTGGCTTAGTGCGAACAGTCTTTGTCTCCAAAGGGTTATCCACCGAGCCCACAAAATAAATATCTCGGCCACATATTGCGTATACTAGCTCATAGCCTCCTCAATGGAGAGTTATTTGTCCTTCAAGGGAGCCATCGGCAAAAGTGCCAAGGTGGACAACCAATGAAGTAGGGAAGCAGCATGAAGAAAACAACCTCAAACATGGCATTAATCGGGCCGGTCCGGTTTCTAGATTGGAGACCACGCGACACGGACTCCCTATGGCTGCGGATGTTGGATGTTATGACCCGCAACAGATATTAGTGACACCAACGTTGTTTTGCCGTATCATCTAAAAGTTAACGTTCAATCGAAAACCAAAAACACTAAAACGGTATGTTGAAACACACAAACCAACCATTTCTTGTTCTTCCTTTACCATCTTCCATATTTGTTATGGTTCAGAGGAAACAATAAGATTCAGTACACAACCAAATAAGAGTTGGGTTCAGTTACCTTAAAATTCGTTCAAATTCTGCGCGTTCCCGTCCAGCTTCAATGGCCAATAACCGCCTGCGTTCTTCTGCTTGCGCAACGCGGGCGCGTTTCAACTCATCTTCAGTCTGTTGCTTCTTCAATGCTTCTTCTTTCTCCTTGCGCCGCCATTCACGCTCTCTGGCTTCGGCTGCACGTTTCGCACGAAGTGCATCTCGCTCGGCCGCCTCATCTGAGGCACGTTCCTGTAGTGCACGTAGGCGAGCTATTTCTAGTTCTTTCTCTTGCCGGATACGTGCTTGTTCGGCTTCATAGGCAGCTTCACGTGCCTGAAATACATCCAACATAAAAGGCGTGATGTGCGAAACCATGCGGGATCATTATTATCATCATTACACACCTTAGATAGAGGTGGAATATACCTCAGCTATTGTGCCGCAATGCATCAAAAGAAAATATACAACAGGTGCACGTCAGCTGGGCTACCAGTAACCGGTGGGCATCGTTACGGAAAGCTGCCAGCCGGCTACTGTATAGCAAAAATAACTGTTATGAAAAATTTATATTATACTAAGAAATGAGAACGCGGTTGGAGACAGAGGCTAAAAGCGATGGGGAAAGACAAAACGACTCAGAACACAAATGCCACTGAGATCTGCTTCTCGCCACGTCAGCAAGTATATCCAGCCAAACGTGTTCATCGCCTTTCAGACCCCAGCCAGGCAGTCAGGAGACAAACAGACGCCAAATTCGAAGTGAGGGCCTTCATTACTCTTGACAAAGTTACAGCTTGACTTCCTCTCCTCTTCTTCCGTCCATACCCCGGCGCGCAAACAACGTACGACGAGGAAGTCGGTGGGCTGGCATGCGCAACACTTGGACCAGCCATGGGAGTCTGGTGTGTAGTATAACGGTACTGAGCGGTACACTTGCTCTTTCTACACTACACAAACGGTGCCGAACACGCTGATTGCTCACGCGGTGTTCACACCAGACTTGAGCTAAGCTGCGAAGACAGCGATCGCCCAACTTACCTAGTCTCCTTATGTGGACCGCGTGGGCCAGGTATCACAACAGTAAAGGAGGGTTGAATGAACGACAGGATTGTAAACTCTGCTTTTCAAGGCGAGTGTGATGTTCCGCTGGCACAACAGGTGGCGGAGATTGCCAAAAGCGCCTTAAGCTTATGCTATACGGTTCGCACCCTCGTATACTATTCCACAGGCGCTAATATAGCTGCCTAGATGCTTAAAGATTTGCACTTTTTCTAACCGATCGCCACTCAGGTTCCGCGCTGGGGTGGATCCCTGCAAATCTTGGAGGACTTTGCACTTTGAGGGTGCAAAGCATAGCGTGAAATGAGTGACAGTTAATGCTCATTTGCTCAGTTCGGCTTGGCACGTTTGGGAGCTGTCCATTTTGTACCATCGTGATATATGGTTGGCGGCATCCGGTTCAGGATTTGCCTGTCACTGTGGCCAGCCACAGGACGCCTGCGCCTACAGAGGGACCATGGGTGGCTTGCGCTGCATCACCCACAGCTACATCCACACACCCCATATCTAGTGTAAACCCGAAGGAATAAGACTGGGAGGTATGCGGATGGGAGCCATGTTTCATCAACGGAGCTGGTCCACATTTCTTCACGGACAAACACAAGCACGCTGTAGTTGGGAATCCAGCGAACGCAATCCGGTGGCTTGACCCTACTCCTCTCCACACTGAGTGCATGGAATCACTCTTCGAGCCTAGCACGACCACAAGGACCGTGCGCCCCGTCCCCTCAGCAACGACCAACTGTCTCTTAGAGCTAGTATGGACGATATAGTGGATAATAGACAGGTAGGCACCTTGTCAACATGCACATCAAGCGCAGCCACACCGAGGTGTCAAGCAACAGCCAATGGCTTGGAATAACGATAACAGATCAAAGAAATCGGATAAGAAAACACAATTGCAAAGAGATCACTTTTCGGTAACTTACATCAAGCAAACGCGTTTACAAGCACAACTGCGATACTCATATGCCTATGAAAGCTGAAGCGAAAGTAGGAGAGAGTCTGAATTCATTCGGACGGAAGTTAAATTGATCGGGCCAATTGGTAAAGCCTGTGTTGTCGATGAAGGCTGACCTTATTTGACCCACTTGACACAGTTTGCTGACCACTTCGCGAAGCAAATTGGGTCGGCAGAGAAGTGATGCCACCTTTAGTCTCATCAATGTTCCATGCGGATGGATCCTTATCACTACCAAGGCAGCGTGAGAGATTGCAGTAGTATCCTCTGCTTGCAAAGTTCCGGTTGCGTTAAACTGATTGCTATCGATTCCGCAATCTTAAGGAGGCGTCTCTTAATCCCCTTAGGATGTCGTTTTGACAAGGTGTAGAAAACGTTGAAAGCATCATTGGTCAGAATTTCGAGTCCACTTTGAACCAGATGTTCAAGGAAGCAACCTCTGATAGTTGCGGCAGTGCCTTTTCCTAGAGACCCGGGACAGTGCTCAGCTATCCTTGTTGATAGACGCCTGGTCGTATGTCCGACGTACTAATGAGTAGTGAGGATTTTGACATTATTCAGCTAATTCATCATGGATAATACATAAAGATATGCCAACAACTCTTAACTAAATTAGTATGTGAAATAAACTCGTTATCAAAATTCACGATAAACTCGAGAAGGCAGAAAAAGAGATCGAACGTGAATAAAGTTAAGGAAATTAACCACTTTTCGTTTATATATATATATATATATATATATTCAAAACCTGACCAATAAACGATTTGCAGAGCGCCACAACACATACGTAACTACAAAACAAGAAAAGCGGCAGTCAAATGGAAGGATACAAGCTTCCATCTGTTATGGGGGCAGGAAACTTCCCGGTTGCCCAGGACGAGGAAGAGGTTTGACTTAAGAGACCCACCCCGAGCCTTTGTTCGTAAAGACCTAATCCGCAAGACAGCGTAAGTGCTTCACTCATGAAGCTGAAACGTCCAGGCAGCTGCTAAATATGAAGACCGTTGACAGCCAAGTGGCTTATTCGCCTTCTTTGTGTCCTTTAGCAGTCCATACAGAAGCCGGTGGGTAGCAAGGTTGTTTATCCGCTCTCCGTTAGGTATTTAAGACTGAGTCCAGAAGTGAGTGGTCAGTGACCCCTTAGCCGGTTAAATTGGCTTTGACGCAGTGCCATGCGATCCCTTATGGTATTTGATGGAGAAATACGCCAGAACTCCCCACGCTCTGAGACGCTGCCGCTGATTGTCCGCGACTGCTTAATCACCTCGCTAGCAAAGCAAACGGGACTTATTCGCAGTTACGTCCACAAGGAAGGCATTCCGCAATCCGCAACCTTGGGACCCACCCGATAGCCTATAGCTCTGTCACAGTGTCCTACATTTCCAAACCCTTGACGATCCATGGATCTAAGTTGTGGACTCACTTTATTGCCATCTACAACCAAGACGTGGTAACAGGTTTATTTGCCTTCATACATCGTCCTACAATCTCTACTAGAAATGGACAGCTGTCTAGCTTCTACTCTGAGAACCGTTCTGGCTCAGCCTAACACCCATGTTTCCCTTGGGGTGCAACGATCATGCAACACCGCATTCCCCTACGTCTACTACGTAAAACACTTCAGCGGTGTCATCTATGAGGTCCGTATAGTAACAGACCACAGCATTTTATCCGACCTCATCAAGATCACCGATTGGCCGTTCTAGCTTAATAAGGCCCAGCTGTCTCATAGGGGTAGTCCCTCAACCAATTCGGCATTTCAGTAACAAACGCATCATAGACTAAGATCCTTAGCTCAAATGATGCAGTCCTTCCTGAGGAGCAGGACGCTGAAAATAATAACCCTCAGAGCTACCGCTAATTGGGCCATATGTCACTTGTCAGTAGATATACGAATTTATTTTATGTCTATAGAAAGTTGTCCAAATACCGAGAACTGGTATGCTTGAGTACCAGAGAGACAATGGTGTCATAATGGTCCACAAAAAGGAAATGGAACACCAACAGGATTTAGCGTAGTTCGACTCCAATCCTAAATTGCTTTACAAGCATGTTAAAAACTTCACAAAGTACAGCGAGGCATCCCTTCTCTAAACATAGCATGTGCGCAAGTGCAAACTAGGCAAAGAGCAGTTAGTACTCTTAGACATCGGTTTGCTTGTACTTTCCAGAACGCACCACCATTTCATGGCATTCCCACACAAATCACTTCACCAGAAGACTTTAGGTACATTTCCATTACAACAGTGGATGCACTGAGGCGACTGATGGCCTTACGCGAGTACAGATCTATCGTTGCAGACAGCATTCGCCGAAAGGCGATGAACCGTTAGAAATATTCTTTCAACGATATTTAAGAAGATGCAAGTTGCCACAATGTGAAAGCATGGGATCGTCATTTCAATCTATAAGTATGCTAGCAGTGCAGAAACAGTGAATATTAGGCCGATAGTTCTACTCCCGGTGATCTCCATGGTCGTGGAGTACATTGTCGCTGAGACAATCATAGAACACCAGAAGAGTAACAAAATTCACGCTCTGATGCAGCACGGATTCTGCCAAAATCTGTCCTGTACTGTTACCCACTTGACAGCTCAGGCTTGACAAACAGAATTGGTGGATACTGGAGTAGGAGTAGATACCGCCTATCTGGATTTCTCAGACATGTGACCGTGTGCATCATCACACTCTAGTCCACGAGATTCAGAATTATGGAATCGACAATCATTTTCTGGGCTGGATAAGTAACTTTCTCATGCGACGTCATCTGAAGGTGCGGGTTCGCAGCACCCTATCCGACACCATCGAAGTCCAGTGTGGTGTATCTCAAGGCTCAGTACTAGAGCCTCGTCTGTTCCTGGCCTTCCTAAATAATCTCATGAGGGTTCTGTCTTCAAATTTCCTACTATTCGTCAATGGCGTAAATACACGGTATGCTGTCAACACAGTGGAGGAACACAGACCTGCAAACTGGTCTGGATAGCGCTTACACAGTGCACATATGCTCCAGTTCAACGCCTCCAAATACAAAGTGGTGAGCACACATCATCGGAGCACTCACGACTACTGCTAGGTCTACAACTTCTAAAGCGGGCTTCTCAGTAGTGCGGTCTGGGCTTCCCCTTGCAAGATTACCTCGGTTGTTTTAAGTAGGCTGAAAAGACATCATGGAAAACAAACCAACACTTCAGCCTCCTGCGTACAGTGTTCGGGAGTTTCGACGCCTCAGTCTTTCAGAAAATCCTTGGCGAGTAAGTGAGGCCGCACACGGAATACGCTATCCAAGAGTGGCAACTTTAGCAGAAGCATCATCTCACTGCGCCCGATACTGCATGACACAGGGCTACGAAGAACA